CCCTCAGGTGCCTTGGAGAATAGCTTGACTCCCTCTTCTATGGGGCAGCCCCTGAGATATTGGAAGAGTGCTACCATCTCTCCCCATGTCCTTCTTTTCATTAAACTAGATCAGTGATGGTGAATCTTTTTGGCACCAAGTGCCCAAACCTGAAGGCATGTGTGTGTATGTGAAACCTGAAGACCAGCTGACAAGTGTGCGCACGCCTGTTTTTTGGCCATTTGGGGGGCATTTTTTGGGCCATTTTCCAGGCTGTTTTTAAGCACATGTGTCATAGATTCACCATCACTGAACTAGACATGCCCAGTTCCTGCAACCATTCTTCATATGTTTTAGTCTCCAGTCCCCTCATCCTCTTTGTTGCTCTTCTCTGCACTCTTTCTAGAGTCTCCACATCTTTTCTACATTGTGGCAACCAAAACTGCCATATTCCAAGTATGGCCTTACCAAGGCCTTATAAAGTGGTATTAACCCTTCACGTGATCAATATAAATCCTTCTGTTCTCTGCCATTCAGTTAGAACCAAAGAAGCTTCTGGGATGAGAAGCGAAACCTTGTTCAAGGAAGAACAAAGACAGCCCAATTGCTTTTGGGGAAAAAAGCACCTTTGGGAGAACTATGATTTGGATGGCTGAGAATCTCCATAGAATCTCCATCACTGGGGGCTTTCAAGAAGAGATTGGACAAGAGTGGTATAAAGACTCCTGCTTGAGCAGGGGATTGAACTAGATGGCCTCTAAGGTCCCTTCCAACTCTTATTCCATATTCTGAATACAGGTAGTCATCAACTTATGACGGGTCACTTAGCGACCATTTGAAGTTACAAACGACTCCACAAAAGCTACTTGCAACTCGGTTTCAAAGATACAACGGCCGCAGACATTCACTCTTATGACCAACCGCAGGGATGCTCACCCACCAGCCCACTGGGTACCTTCACCCACACAATGGAAATCAGACAATGACACCTGTTGTGGCCCAGCAGGAGCCATTGGAGCTGCCACCAGACTCCGACAGCGATGGGCCCTATGAGTCGGCTCTGGAGGATGTGGAGGACCCTGGACAGGGTTCCGAGTCCAAGCAGGGCGCAGAGAGGCTGGTTGGACACCAGAGGGCGCCTGAGCCTTGGACCAGTGGGGAGGAGACAAGGGAGAGCGAGCCGGATGCCAGCAGTGAGTTGTTCCTGGATGCACGCCATCGAAGAGCTACTAGGAGTCAGGAACAGTTGCGCAAGTACAGGAGGTAATTGGGACTGGCAAATTGGGACAGGGGTTCCTTCAGCATCGAACTAGCTTTTTGGCTGGTAGAGCTTCTCCCGGGTCCAAATTTGTCCCTATAAAGACAGATGGGGAACAATGGTGATCCTTTTATGACTTGAGGACTTCAACTCCCATGCTGGCTCAGGAATTCTGGGAGTTGTGGTCCACAATATTTGCCCACATCTGCTCTAATGAAGATAAAAAGCGAAGAAGATGGAAGGGACATTTGGTCATCCAATGGGGGCTGAGTCCAATCCCTTTTTTTCCCCACGTTTGAGTTCAATCACTTGATCTCAAGCAGAGGTGGGTTCCTACCAGTTCGCACCTGTTCAGTAGAACCGGTTCGTCAAATCTACTGAACCGGTTAGAAGAGGTTCCACCAGTGGACCCGGAAAGCAGGCCACACCTACAGAAGAGGTTCCAAAATTTTTTGAAACCCACCACTGCTACACACACACACACACACACACACACACACACACAGAGACTGACAGACAGACAGACAGACAGACAGACAGACAGACAGACAGACAGACAG